AAACTGCGATCCTCTGGTTTGCAGGCCCGTGTTCAATCCACTGAGCTACACCAGCCAGGTACTATTGGGAATTTAAATGAGAAAATAAATATCTTGATTATTTGTCATTAAAAAAAAAAAAAGGCAGAGAGCCCCAAACCTACCCGGACTGGTGTGGCTCAGATGGTTGGGCATTGTCCTGCAAAGTGAAAGAAAGGTGGTAGCCTTTTCTCTTCCTGGTCAGGGTACATACACGCCTGGGTTGCCAGTTCATTTCCCAGTAGGGGCACATATGAAAGGCAACCAGTGTTTATCTCTCACATTGATGTTTCTCTCCCTTTTTCCCTCACTTCTCCTTTCTCTAAAAATAAATAAATAATATCTTAAAAAAAACTCCAAACCCCACACCCAGTTCTAAACTGCTCGTCCTCCCTTTCTTACCTGAAGAAGGAACACATTAGTTTTGGCATGGTGATAGACATTGTACTGTCCTGCATCTATAACTTATTTGTTCAGGGTCATATTTTCTTTTAGTCTTCATATATAGGTGTGTCAGCAAAAACTCTTATAGGTTTGCTATTTCTGCAAAGAGTTTGGTCTTAGCATGAATCTGTCAGATTACTGGGTACTGGGTGGATAAAGAGATTCTGCCCCAGGGATCTATTAATATTTGTCTCATTGTGAGGTACTGCCACTGATTTAGTGACATACCTATCCACTGCAATGGCCAACAAACTGCACATGGAAGCCACCACAGAAATGCAGATCATGGAGTCAAATACATTGTCAATGTGATGAACAAAGGCATCTGCTATCACCAGGTGCTTATTATTTATTAAGTATATAGTGATGGTCTCCCAGGCATTGGACATGCTCACCAGCATTGGACATGCTCACAACCTTCTTCATTCCTGAGCTCCACTGATTTCATTTCCTCACCATGGCAGCATTTACTTCACATCTTGGAAGGCTTCCCATTGCTCTTAGAATAAGGCCCTACACCTCTACAACCTACAAAGCATTTTTTTGATTCAGCCCTGTCCCCAAACACCTCAGACTGCAGGAAGCTTTAGTCACCTGGCATTCTTACTATTTCTCAGCATCCCAACTTTAGTGCTCCCTCATACTGCTCACCTTTCTTTCCTTGCTGCCCACCCAAACTCTTTAGTTTCCTTCTTCAGCTCTTGGACATGCTTCCCCCTCGCTGCTGCTTTGCCTTCTTGACTCTCACCCCCTTTGCTTCATGTTCTTGTTCTCTCTCTGCTCTTCTCCTGCCTGCCCCTGGAGTCCTTCAGCACCTGAATTTCTTCCCATATGCATGCAGCTGTGTCACAGGTTGACAACATTAGACACTGTATTATGCATAAATGTGGCTAAAGCTGGATTCAGATCTTGGTTTTATCCCCAGCTGAAAAGTCACGTGACCACTATGAGCCCCAGTTCCTCATCTATAAGCCTGTGCTAAGAATATTGAGTATAGGGATACTGGGATAATTTGCTAAGAATCTGGACATGTAGACCACAGTAGTCTCTCAATAAATGTTCATAGGATGTTTGATACATATTTAAAACTCCACTGTCTAATGTTCATACATATACATGGGTATGTATACACATACATAAACATGGGCTTTGGAACAAGAAGGTCTGGGCTCAACATCTGGTGCTACCACTTACTAGCCAAATGTCAGAAAATACATTCAGCTTCTCTGAGCCTCAAAGTAGGTAGGTATCTACAAAGATCACAATAACATTAATAGCTCCCAGAGTTGCTATGAGAATCAAATGGTATATTTAAATGTTTTATAAGCCTTTGAGTAAAAAAATTATAATCTGACTTTTTTGTAATTGTTTGTTGCTCTCTCAGTGTTTCTTCCATTTAAGCTTTGCTTCTACAGCAGAACTCAGAGTCTTCTTGGCTGGACCCATGATAATGTTTAACGTGAGCCTCAGCACAGAGATGACATGCAATAAGAATTTGCTGATAGTCAAATCCATAATGAGATACACCTCCCTCTTGTTAGAATGGCTATTATAAAAAAGACAAGAGATAACATATACTGGTGATGGAGGAAATGGAACGCCTGTGTTGACTGACATATATAGCTAGTGTAGCCACTATGGGAAATAGTATGGAAGTTCCTCAAAAACTGGTTATATATCCAAAGGAAATAAAATCAATTATTTGTTACAGATATCTGCATTCCCATGTTCACTGAAGCTTTATTCACAATAGTTAAGAAAGGATACAACCTAAGTGTGTTTTCACAGATAAATGGCTAAAGAAAATGTTACATACACAGACACAGACACACACACACACACACACACACACAGGAATATTCAGCCATAAAAAAGAAGAAATCCTGCCTTTTGTAATACCATGGATGGAATTTGAGGGTGTTAGTCTAAGCAAATTAAGTCAAAGACAAACACTATATGATCTTATTTATATGTAGAATCTAAAAACACTGAATTTGTAGAAACAGTGGTGATTACCAGGGGTCAGGGAGGTGGAGGAATTGGGGAGCTGCTGGTCAAAGAGTAAAAACTTTAGGTATAAGAGTACTGGGGATGTTATGTAGTCCGCATCTGGAGTCTGCACCATAAGATGCACCTAGGTTTTGGAGGAAAATAGGAAAAAAATTTGGAGCAAAAAATGTAAAAAAGTGCATCTTATAGTCCAAAATATATAGTAGTTCAATAATATTCCAATAAAGCTGGAAAAAATAATTTACTGATGTGAGCAATGAACATAGAAGGACTTGTTGCCCAGCTGCAAAGGGTGGTCAGTAGCCCCCTGCAGTTGTCAGCTCCCTCAGCATTAGCCTCAAGATCATGCTACCTGACTTAACACCTTCCCAGAGGCTTCTGATGACTGAGCCAAGCAGAGTATAAAGGCCTAGACATATTGACAAGGCCATTTTACCTCTCAGAGTTCCAGGATAGGGTGGGCTAAGGTTATTGGTCCCACCTAGCTGCTCTGCCTCCACCTCCCTTCCTTTCCACAGGTGCTGATCCCAGGAAGCTTCCTAGGGGTACCCTGCAGAGTCAACTCCTCTTAGAATCTGAATCTTGAAGAACCCAACCTGTGACATATGGAATCTAATAGATTTCTCTCATGGAAACCTTCATAGACATGATTGCACGTTTTCTCAGTACATTTGAAATAAGGATCATCTCATTTTCTTTCATCAATAACATGAAGTAAAACATGGGATTTGTTGCATGGCTACTACCCTTTCACTGAGAAAGGGGTATTCATGATGTGGAATTCAGTGGCTCATGTTACCGGGATGCTATTTAGGAGGCAGAATGTTTCCAGTGATAGGCACAATTGAAGAGCTTAGTCTATATTTTCTTAGCTCTATTGACCTTGATTTATTATTTCCCTGGAAGAAACAGAAAATTGCCACTCCACTTAAGCTTGCTCCAGAATAGAAAAATAATTGAAATCTACCCCCAATTTATTTAACAAAGCAAGGCTACCTAAATACCAAAATCCAATAAAGACATACCAAGACAAGAAAAATGCAAATCAAACCCATAAGCATTTTAAAGGAGTAAACCTGATGAGTACCAGGGCTCCTTGGAAAGGCAGCTTCATGTGGAGAAAGTGCTTGGGCTCTGAGTCAGCCTGTGAGGGTTCAAGCCACAACTACATTTCTTTTGAGCATTAGGACCTTGGGTTTGCTATGTAACCTCATTGAACATCAGTTTCCTCCTTTGTGAAATGGGAATGATTAAAGGACCCACACTTCCTAGGTCTTCTGTAAAGATTGAGGGTAATTCATGTATAGTTCTCACCATAGTACCTGTACATAGATGGGGCTTAGAGAGAGATGCCCTATCTGACCAACATCAAGGGCAGCTGCGTCATGTAGCCTGGACAATTAATTCTCTTCAGTAGAAGTCTCCACTTTTACCACTTTACTGGGAAACCAGGACCTTTGTTTACAGAGCCTTCTCTGACCCGGGACATAAAAACAAATAAGGAACTCTAGGATCTCTGTATGTTTTCTGTCAACCATTCCTTTGCATATACACAGCCTTGTTATCAGCATAAGAAATCTCTTTACAGGATTCCCTCTGCTACTCTCAGCTTGGCACTTGGACACCTGTGACACTGGGCCTCCCAGACTGCCACCTCGTATATTCATATTTGTTGGAAAGGTTGTCCCTTCGTTTCTCTGGCAGTAGAACAACCCGGTGCATTTCTGCCTATGGTTGTCCTGGCAGTCACTTGGGCATCTCTCTCTCTTGTGTGGTAAAAGTACTTTGGGGGACTTTCAGGTCAGTGTTTAAGGTACCAGGAAAATGAGGGGTCTAGAAACTATAACCAAAGCCAGGATATTTGGCCAGATGAAAGTCTCTTTTCTCTTTTTGCCTGAATAACACAAGCATGTTGGTAGTGTTAGACCTGGCATGGCAGACACAGTCCTTGTGGAGGGGTTGAAATTTTGGGCCAGCAAAAGGTATGCATTAGTCTCACAACTGAGGGTTCCAGGCTGTGGTTTCCCAGAGAATCACTGGGGGACCATTGGAGTGAAGGAGGACTGAAAAAGGGATGGGAGGTTTTAATCAGTGCATAAGAGGAGGCGAAAAGAAGCAAAATCAAAGAGAACAAACATCTAGAAAACACATTTGAACGCACTTTTGAAGATGGATTTTCCACAAACAGAAGAACATTGTTCTATGCAGGTGTCACCACGAGCTCCAAAGGCCCACAGCCAGAGGAGCCCTGTCAGCCTGAAACTGAGGGTTGTGTTCCATGACTCTGACCGCTAGGTGCTGCTTCAGACCCGCAGCTGGGAAAGAGCAAGTCTTGGGAGAGAAGCAGTCCCCCCCCCCCAGCCCCCCATTCAGGGTCCCAAGGGAATAGCGACATGGGGGCGGAGCTGCGAGACTGCATAAAGGCAAGGGAGCAGTGACTAGGCTCCAAGCACCTGTGCGCTGTTTGAGGAATCTGGTCCTAAGGTGACAGCATTTAGGCTCCCGGAGGCGGTCCCAACCTGTGGATGCCAGGTGTCTAGGCTGAGCCAATGTCCTGAGTGAAGGGCCCACGGGCTGCTGTGCGACGAGGCACAAGAGAGAGCACTGGTAAATAGACACGCTTTCTATTCACTTAAAATCGCCTTGAAAGGAATGCAAAATCACGCCTAACCGACTTGTGGAAGAGAGCTACTCGAATATTTAAACATAGACCTAGACAAAATGCCAAATGATTGCATTTCAGTAAAAACTTATTATTGATAATGACAATGATAACAAAAATTCCTTCTCTCTCCCTGGATATGCTGAGTTTGGAGGGCAAAGGACTTTTAGAATATAAATCTTGGGAGAGAAATTGGGGAACACAGGAATGATCTTATTCTAGTTCTTGGTAAATTTAAACTGCTTGTTTCTTTTTACTATGTTTATGTAGAACTTGCAAACTATCTGTTAATCAGACTGTGGACTTGCAAATGCAGAAGTCAGGGAAAATATTTATTGAGGGAAAAACAGCATTTTGTGTATCTCAAGTTTAACATGTATGTGCAACTAAGTGTATGCATTGAAGACAGTAACTTTTTATTTGTGATTTTATTCAAATTAATGAATCACATTGGTTACCATCTTAATTACAACTATGGAGACTGAATCCTAGTGGTCAGTAACCAGTGGGGTGGAGAGGGATAATGGGGGAAAATAAAGGAAGGGCCATCAAGAAACATGTATAAAGGACATATGGACAAAGCCAAAGGGGGTAGGTTCGAGGGTGGGGGAGATGAGGATAGATGGGGTGGGGGAGAAATGGATATAACTGTACTTGAACAACAATATAAATAAATAAGAAGTGTCAGGACCTATGTTAAGAAGACATCTATCTGACTTGAAATATCAGACAGGCTACTTTGTAAGTATATGATTGTTTAACTACTATGCTGTATAACTGAAACTAATACAAATAATATTCAATGTAAATTGTTGAAAAATTTAAAAATGTTATCCTGCTATCCTAGAAATGAATAACATACATTTTTGTATAAACACAATACTACCCAACCAAATACATGTGAAAAAGTAATTAATGTCAACAAGGTGACATTTAGATTTATTTTATACATTAGATTATGAAAAAAGAACACATCCATTTCTTTTAAGAATGTGCACCTGTATATCCTTCAGAAATCCAAGCTTACCTGAGGAAAATGCAGTGCAGTAGGAGTCTTAGGAATTGAAAATCTAGAGACTGGAAAGGATTTTGTAGGTTGTAAATTGGGAACACTTTTGAGAGTGAACTTGGGTACCAGCACAACAAGCATAAAAAGTAAAACTTTATCAGGTACACTGAGATGTATGGTCACTCTATTAAGAGGTCTGTGAAAGAGTGGGAAACTAAACAAGGGAGGACTAGAAGGCTGGTGAAAATTCTAAGCCTGCATGATGGAGGGACACTATTCCAGGGATCTGAATGTATTGTATTCAATTCATACAATTCTAATACTCAGCAAATGTTCTAGTCTGTTCATTTCCATTCTCAGGTTATGCTTCCTTCTGGCATGCTGTTGTGCTTCTTTGGTAAACTGTTAACCTTTCTGAATCATGAATGAAAACCTGTTTTGCAGGAAATTTGCTGCCAAGAAGAGTAGCAATGAATTCCTCATTTCACCTGTATTTCTTGGATCTCAACCTGAATGCCACAGAGGGCAATCTTTTGGGACCAAATGTCAAGAACAAGTCTTCACCATGTGAAGATATGGGCATTGCTGTGGAGGTGTTTCTGACTTTGGGTCTCATCAGCCTTTTGGAGAACATCTTGGTCATAAGTGCCATAGTGAAGAACAAGAACTTGCACTCTCCCATGTATTTCTTTGTGTGCAGTTTAGCAGTAGCGGACATGCTGGTGAGCATGTCCAATGCCTGGGAGACCATCACTATATACTTAATAAGTAATAAGCACCTGGTGATAGCAGATGCCTTTGTTCGTCACATAGACAATGTATTTGACTCCATGATCTGCATTTCTGTGGTGGCTTCCATGTGCAGTTTGTTGGCCATTGCAGTGGATAGGTATGTCACTATATTCTATGCCTTGCACTACCACCACATCATGACAGTGAAGCGTTCCGGGGTGATTATTGCATGCATCTGGACCTTCTGCACAGGATGTGGCATTGTTTTCATCATTTACTATGAATCTACTTATGTGATCATTTGCCTCATCTCCATGTTCTTCACGATGCTGTTTCTCATGATGTCTCTGTATATACACATGTTCCTTCTGGTACGAACTCATGTCAAGCGGATAGCAGCTCTGCCAGGATACAATTCTGTGTGGCAGAGGACCAGTATGAAAGGTGCCATCACCCTGACCATGCTGTTGGGCATTTTCATTGTGTGCTGGGCTCCGTTCTTCCTCCATCTCATTTTGATGATCTCTTGCCCTCAGAATCTTTACTGTTCCTGCTTTATGTCTCACTTCAATATGTACCTCATACTCATCATGTGCAATTCTGTGATTGATCCTCTGATATATGCCTTCCGCAGCCAAGAGATGAGGAAGACTTTTAAAGAGATTATTTGTTGCCATGGTTTCAGAATACCCTGTACATTCTCTAGCAGGTATTAAACAAAAGCGCTCTCTGCAGCTTTCTTTTCTCCTTCCTTTACCTGGTGATGCAGTCAGTTGGGGATAACCAAGATAACTCAAAATCAAAACTGCATTACACTTATCTTTTTTCTACCTACACTTACCTTTTTTCTACCTTGAATTGGTATTTAAGATGCATTCTTTTTTGTGGTAGTTGTTGGTGGTTAGATGTGCACATGCATCTTATCAATTTTGGGAAAGGTCTGTGGCAATTTATTACTATCCTGCTTTCCTACTACTTTTCTTTTGCTCTCACCCATTTATGGGGTCCCCATCCATCTTCCATCTAGTAAGTATGTGTTCAGGGAAAGTAAAACATTCTGGGTGCACATCTAAGCAGGATGAAGAGCTGACTGTAATGGAAAGAAAACTTGTGACTTTCTACATTATGTGTGATTGCTTTCTCTACCCAGAAACTGTTCTATAACTCCACTTTATGTTCTTGGGACTTATGCATGCTTTTCAGAGCTGAATAGAGTAGTCAAATTCTTTCCATTTGAATTTCTCTTTTCATTTGTTATGGGGATTTCCTTTTCTAAACTTTTGTTTTTGTGGCTTGCCCATAATTGTCCAAGGATGAAATTTTGCAAATTATACTTCTGTCTATCATGGTTTTGCTCTTACCCAAATATAAGACTTCATGCTACAAACCTTACATCATATGGTGTGAAAGTTTCTGTGACTCTTCTTACTATCTTATTAGTGTAGGGTTTCCAAATGAGTATTTTGGAAACATGTCATAGGCTTCAAGTGCTCCCATGTTCCCATCCCTGTACTCACCTCTCTCACTTGTAGCACATGCCCATAACCAACGCTGTTTTTGACCTTCTAAGACCACGTAGGTCTTTGAGTCTGAAACCCTGCCACTCTGTATCTCACACATCACAATCCGACTCCAGCAGCCAGAGAGGTTCAGGTACACATCTCTAATCCAGGGAGTCCCATCTTCTGCAGTGTAGAATGGTCCTGACTCTGACATTAACAGGTGACATTGCATTAATCATCTCATTTCAGGTTCAGCATCTGTGCTGACCTCACAGGATGGTTATGAGAACTGAATGTGAAAATGTGAGAACACCTTGAAAACTAGTCAAGCACCAAAGGGATTCGATATTTATTTAAAAGAAATATTGCAGATGGGGTAAACACTTGGGGATGGTTCAGAGAGTAGTAGTAACAGCAGTAGTTTGGAAACTAGGAACCCTGCTTTGTCACAATACATCTGTGTCACTTGAAACATCTCTGACCTCTTGGTCCCATTATATTTATATGAAATGAAGGGCTTGGTCTTTATAGCTCTTGTATTTCATTCTATTATTTTTGGTATTAATGAATTCTCTTTTGTTTTGGATATTATGTCTATACTGTTCCTAGTGAAGGAAAAGTATAAATAAATAAGTGGACTACTAGGATCATTCAGTGATGAGCTGTTGAAGCCTTTTGGGGCAGAGGAAATTCCTGGGAATAGAACACATAAATAACTTATAGATGTGATCCCTACCCTCGGCAATGCAGAGTTCAGAAATAAAATGGTGCTGGCACAAGCAGGAAAGTGTCATCTTATGAAATCTGAATTTTTGAAAAATGGCAAATTAGCAGGTAGTCAGCAAATGAGTTTTGAAGGGGCAGCTAGCCCTTCAAATGTTTCTTGTTCCTTTTAGCCAAACAGGCTGTGTATATTTATGAATGGAAAGTAAGTGATCTCCAATGTAATTATGATGATGTAATTATGATAAATAGTCCCTGTTTACTTGGGATGTCTCAGTTTCAGTGAAATCCAGCCTCTCCTCTCTGCTGTCCATGTCTGTGGCTTTGTTGCCTGCAATAGTTTCTGATACAGAGCAGACACTCAACTTATATTTGCTATTGTTACTAAATAAATGCATGCTTAATCTACTAACAGCCCTGAGTTCTTGGTGATATCACTAGGATTCCAATCCTCTGCCTAATCAAACTTTGGCCCTTGTGGTATACAATTGGCTCCACCTGGGAACTCATTAGGCTAACTTTCTGCTCTGGGTCCTTCCTGACTTCAGACAAGGTCTGACCTTTTCTATAAAGGTCTTCAAGGAAATGCTCAAATGTCTTGTAATCTCTATATAAATAGTGCAGAAATAATCCAAGTATTCAGATGTGTCTTCAGTTGGAAGGAATACATGTCATATAGTGATTTGGTAAACATCTGTGAGTAAACAAACCCCTAGAACCCCAGCACAAAGTCCCCTAAACCAAAAATCCATGTAACTGTCAAATACTGTATGGTATTGTATGTTAAGTCTTTCTACTTTTGTAGGAACTTCATTTGGTATAACAATATGTGTTCAAAGACATGGTTAATAATGAAAATGAAAGAACCAGACCACCCATTTGAACTGGACATTATAATGTGTGATATTCAGAGTGTTTTTGATGTTTCTGACAATCTACAGCAACTGCTCCAAAATTAGAAGGTATATTCTTTGGTGAGTTATGATGAAATTTCCCTGACAGTATTTATTGCCTGAAAGATGGCCATTTCTCAGTTCAAAATAATTTAACTCCTAAAAATAAAATAAAATTGTACACTTGACTATAAATTGTCTTAAAGTCTGTCTCAGTAAACAAGCAAGGATTTGGGAGATGCCACTGATCATGTCCTCAGAATGGGGCTAGAAGCAATGATCATTAGATAGTCTCTGCCATCAAAGAGCCTATGGTACAAATTATTTCAAGACATAAATATTTTAAGATATGTGGAAACACTATTCACAATTTAAGGTGCTATACATAAATGTGAATTTATGAGACACAGACTATACCTGTTGTAAAATGAGGGCTATGATAGCTCCCATGTCTGTAATGGCAATTTTCACTGGTATATACAGGGTACATATTAGAGTTTTGGGGTGAAGGTGTAACTTTGAAAAATTCCCCAGATCATCTCTGCATCAAGTTCAGATGTGGCTCTTGTTGAGTTGGAGATTAAAAAAACTAAAAGGACAACTTATCTGATAACTTTCCTCAAGCTAATAAATGATGGTGGAACCAGGGACCCACAGACACTTCCATGCAAGCACAGGAAGAATAGGAGACATGGTATTATACCTCCAGGTCTCAACAGCAACCTGTGGCTTGTGCTACCCCATTGGATAGTGTGGATCTACACTTATTTCCTAGGTATGCTATATGTTTCTCCTTTTTGCCCCTAGGCCTTTATATTACTTTTATCCTAATTATGTATACTTTGAGTCTATCAAGCTGTGAGGGAGAATCGTGCTTTTAGTTTCTTTTACCTGAGCCCTTTTGTCCAATCGAAAGGATTAATTGAATCCTTTTGATACATCCTTCTTAACATTTACTCTGAGGCAGCTTTGTTAATCTATTCAGAGCATTTGCAGTGATAGTGTAAGCTGTTCCCTTCATTTGATCCTAGTGCCAAATCTAAGTTTTAATTGGCTTATGCTTTCAACTTTTAAAAATTTAATCTTTTACTGCCCTGAGCAGTGTGGCTCAGTTTGTTGGTCATTGTGCTGCAAAGCAAAAGATTACTGGTTTAATTCCCAGTCAGGGCACATGCCTGGATTGTGGGTTTGGCCCCCAGTCAGGAACACCACAGGTGGCAAACACAAGGCCCGTGGGCTGAATCTGGCCTTCCACCTTGTTTTATCTGGCTCAGCACCTTGTTTCTACCCAGCAGCAGTGCCGAGTTCCTTGCTGCTAGTTAAGGAGTAGTTACATTTATACAGTCCTAAAATTACATTCAGTTTTTTTAAGGCAACCTGGAGGCTGATGTGGCCCCCGGTGAAAATGACCTTAACACCCCTGTACTAGAGGCCACAGACAAATGTTTCTCTCCCTGTCTTCTTACTTCCCTTCCTGTCTCTAAAAATAAATAAATAAATAAAATCTTTCAAAACAATTTAACCTTTTGCTTATTTGATTGAGAAGAGCTGTCTCTTCTTACTCTGAATCTTCTCACTCTGAAGACCCTGACTCTGGATTTTCTTTTTTTTTTTTTTGGCTTAAAAAATAATTTTATTTAGTTATTTTTCAAGTACAGTTTTTTGTCTATTTCTCCCATACAAACCTCCCCACCCCATGCTCCCTACCTCCCTCCCATTTCAACCCCCTTAGTTCTTGTCCCTCTGTCCTTCATATTTGTTCCCCCCAATCCCTCCCCCTTTCTGCCCTTAAATTCCCTCCCCTCTTCCCTCTGGTCACTGTCCCCTTGTTCTCCATTTCAGTTTCTGTGTTTTTATTCTGCTTGCTTGTTTGTTTTGTTGTTTAGCTTCCTGTTAAAGGTGAGATCATATAGTATATGTCTTTCAATGTCTGGCCTATTTCACTCAGCATAATGCTTTCCAGGTCCATCCATGTTGTTGCAAAGGGTAGTAACTCCTTCTTTCTCTCTGCTGCATAGAATTCCATTGTGTATATGTACCACAATTTTTTGATCCATTCATTTACTGATGGGCACCTTGGTTGCTTCCAGCTCTTGGCTATTGTAAATTGTGCTTCTATAAACATTGTGGTGCATAGGTTCTTTGAAATTGATGTTTTAGAATTCTTAGGATATAATCCTAGCAGTGGAATTGCTGGGTCAAAAGGCAGGTCGATTTTTATTTTTCTGAGAAAATTCCATACTGTTTTCCATAATGGTTGTACCAGTCTACAAATCCCACCAACAGTGAACTAAGGACCCCTTTTCCCCACAACTTCTCCAACATTTGTTGTTTGTTGCTTTGTTTATGATAGCCATCCTGACTGGTGTAAAGTGGTATCTCATTGTGGTTTTAATTTGCATCTCTCTGATAGCTAACGATATTGAGCATCTCTTCATGTGTCTCTGGATAGTCTGTATATCCTCCTTGGAGAAGTGTCTGTTCAAGTCCTTTTCCCATTTTTTAATTGGGTTAGACGTCTTCTTAGAGTGGAGTCATGTAAGTTCTTTGTGTATTTTGGAGATTAAACCTTTGTCTGAGGTATCATTGGCAAATATGTTTTGCCATACAATTGGTTGTCTTTTTAATTTAATACTGTTTTCTTTAGTCACGCAGAAGCTTTTTATTTTGATGAGATCCCATTTGTTTATTCTTTCCTTTATATTCCTTGCTCTAGGGAACATATTGGTAAAAATGTTGCTGCGTGAAATATCTGAGATTTTCTTGCCAATGTTCTCCTCTAGGACTTTAACGGTGTCACAGCTTATATTTAAGTCTTTTATCCACCTTGAATTTATTTTGGTGTATGGTGTAAGTTGGTGCTCAAGTTTCTTTTTTTTTGCCTGTAGCTGTCCACTTCTCCCAACACCATTTGTTGAAGAGGCTATCTTTACTCCATTTTATGTTACTACCCCCTTTGTCGAATGTTAATTGACTGTAGAGAGTTGGGTTGATTTCTGGGCTCTCTGTTCTGTTCCATTGGTCTATGTGCCTGCTTTTATGCCAGTATCAGGCTGTTTTGATTACAGTGGCCTTGTAATACAGTTTGATATCAGATATTGTGATCCCTCCTACTTTGTTCTTCTTTCTCAAAAGTGCAGCTGCTATTCTGGACTGTTTATGGTTCCATATAAATTGTCGAAGTGTTTGTTCTATGTCTGTGAAATATGCCATTGCTACTTTAAGAGGTATTGCATCGAATCTCTATATATTGCTTTGGGTAGTATGGACATTTTGATGATATTAATTCTTCCAGTCCATGAACAAGGTATATGTTTCCATTTGTTTGTGTCTTTCCTGATTTCTTTCTTCAGTGCTGTGTAGTTTTCTGCATTCAGGTCTTTTACATCCTTGGTTAAGTTAATTCCCAGATATTTTATTTTTCTTTTTGCTATATCGAATGGGATTTTTCCCTTGATTTTTGCTTCTCCTGATTCATTGTTAGTATACAAAAATGCCTTTGATTTCTGGATATTGACTTTGTATCCTGCTGTTTTGCCAAATTCATTAATTAGTTTGGGCAGTTTTTTGGTAGAGTCTATAGGATTTTCCTTGTACACTATCATGTCATCTGCAAACAGTGACAGTTTTGCTTCCTCCTTTCCTTTTTGGATGCCTTTTATTTCCTTTTCTTGCCTGATCACTGTGGCCAAAACTTCCAAAACTATATTGAATAGAAGTGGTGAAAGTGGACATCCTTGTCTTGTTCCTGATCTTAGTGGAAAAGCTTACTTTTTGCTCATTGAGTATAATGTT